AAACAAAGTGGGGAAAAAAAGAAAATATAAGATCTCAAGGAGGAAAGGGAATGGAGGAAAGAGACTCAGTGGAGACCTGCCCTGGGCAAGGGGAGCAGGGGACCCCTGGCAGAGGCTCTGGGTCCCTCCCTCCCCCTGCCCTTGGTGGGACAAACCCTGAGGTGCTGAGGAGCTGGGACTGCAGGGGCTGAGCTGCCCTGATCCCCCTGTCCTGGCTGCAGCAGGGCTCCCTTTGTCCCTTTGTCCCTTGTCCCTTTGTCCCTTTGTCTCTTTGCCCCTTTGTCCCTTTGTCCCTTCTCCTGGCTTGGCTTGGCTTGGCTTGGTTGGCTTGGTTTGGTGAGGTTTGGTTTGGTGAGGTTTGGTTTGGTTGGGTTTGGTTGGTTTGGTCGGGCCTGTTATGGTCTGGTTTGGTTGATTCAGTTTGGTTTGGTTTGGTTTGGTTGGTTTGGTTTGGTTGGTTTGGTTTGGTTGGTTTGGATTGGTTTGGTTGGGGTTGTTTTGGTTCAGTCTGGTCTGATTTGGTTGAGTTTGGTTCATTTGGTTTGGTTTGATTTGGTTGGGTTGGGTTTGGTTGGGTTTGGTTGGGTTTGGTTTGGTTTGGTTTGGTTGGGTTGGGTTTGGTTGGGTTTGGTTGGGTTGGGTTGGGTTTGGTTTGGTTTGGTTTGGTTTGGTCTGGTTGGGTCTGGTATGGTCTGGTCTGGTCTGGTTGGTTCAGTTTGGTTTGGTGTGATTTGGTCTGGATTGGTTTGGTTGAGTTGGGTTTGGTCTGGTCTGCTTTGGTCAGGTTTGTTCTGGTTTGCTCCGGTTTGCTCTGGTTGGCTCTGATTTGCTCTGGTTTGCTCTGGTTCAATCTGTTTCCACGGAAGGGGTGAAAGCTGGCCCAGTGCAGCACGGGACCCACGGCCCCGGCAGATCCTCAGCATCTCAGAAACCTTTGGGGAGGAAATGGATTTTCCACAAGACAGATTTGAGGATTTTCTTTTTTCAGGTGTCAGTTAGCCAATAAGTTGGTTAATTGGCTAATTAGCAATAAACCTCCTGCTGGGGGACAAAATAAAAGCAGTGTATTGTCCGTGACGTTTTTGCAGATGCACAGAGAAATTCTCATTCTCCCCAAACTAAGGAAAAAAACCCCAAACCCTGCAGATTTAAAGAAGCAAAATAAAGCCTAGATCAGGCTAGGGAAAAAAAAAAATCAGAATTTTCAAATGCTCCCTTTGTAATCATCCAGCTTAAAAATAAAAAACGAGCTCCAAATTTGTTGTTGTACATATTGTTGCTGCATGCTTACCATATGTTAGATGGAAGCATTTCCTATCCCTTGTGGATAAAAGAACATTTTTCAAGTTGTAGTAAATTATTCTAAAGCCAATGACATTTCATGGCATGTTATCGTATCAAGCTGTGCTTGTTGTATTTTTTTTTTCTTTATGGTTGTATTGCTTTTTTTTTGTTTTTATAAATGTACAAATATTTCCTGTAGTGACGAGCACCTGTTTTACATGGCATTAACTGGGGCAGCTCCAGCCCATTTTGGGTGGGATTTGGATAAAAAAAACCCCATAATTCTGCCCAGGATGGGCTTTGGTGATGTTCCCACAAAAACCAGAGCCTGTCGGGGGGGGAATTTTATCCCTGGTTTGAATTTAGGGAGGAATTCTCCCCTGTGAGGATGGGGAGGGGCTGGGATGGGATTCCCAGAGCAGCTGGACCCCTGGGAGTGTCCCCAAGTGTCCCTGGCATGGCAGGCGGGGAGGGGCTGGGATGGGATTCCCAGAGCAGCTGGACCCCTGGGAGTGTCAGTGCCAAGTGTCCCTGGCATGGCAGGGTGGCACTGGCTGGGATTTCAGCCCCCTCCCAACCCAGCCAAGCCCTTCTGGGGGTTTGTGATTTAGGAGCAGCCTAAATCTGGCTCCAGAACGGCTCCCCAAAGTCCTTTAGGTGCCTCTCAAAGCCCCACTCCCTCTGTGCCGCACCCCAAAGATGAATTTTGGGACTCCACAAAAGGCTGGGAGTGAAACCTTTCCTGCTCCTGGATCCCAGCCAGCTGCCCCGGCCAATTAATGAATTAATTAATTAATGCCATGTAAATGAGGTCGAAGAGCTGCAGCACCCCTGTGGTGCCCTCTGTACCCTGTGTGACCTCCCCCTGCCCGTCCTGGGTGAAATATTCCCCCAAAAATGCCTTTTCTCCCCTTCCTCCCAGCTCTGCCAGGGCCTGGCAGCCTCCAAGGGCTCTGAGCTCCAGCCTCTGGTTTATTTGGCTTTATTTTATTTTATTTTCCATGCTTTTGGGGGCTCTGGCAGGTTTTGGGGTGATTTTGGGGAAGCTTTGAGGGGCAGGGGGAGCAGAGGGGGGCTGTGCAGGGATGTTTCACCCCTCTGTGTGTTGCATGTTAATTGTGTCCTCTGTTAAATCCAGTCATTATTCTTGATTGCTGGCCTTGATGTTATTATTAAAGAACTACACAAAGCTCCTGTGGGCTCTGAGCGTTCCTTGCTGAGCTGAGGCAAACCCTGGGCACTGAATTTTCACTGATTTTCACCGATTTTCACCGATTTTCATTGATTTTCACAGATTTTCACTGATTTTCATTGATTTTCACAGATTTTTCACAGATTTTCACAGATTTTCACAGCTTTTCACTGATTTTCATAGCTTTTCACTGATTTTCCCAGATTTTCACTGATTTTCACTGATTTTCACTGATTTTTTACAGATTTTCACCGTTTTTCAAACATTTTCACAGATTTTTACTGATTTTCATGGATTTTCACTGATTTTTCACTGATTGTTCACTGATTTTCACTGATCTTTTTTTCACTGTTTTTCACTGATTTTCACTGACTGGTTTCTCATTGTGCTGGGGACTCAGACTTGGTGGTTTTCCTCCCAAAACCCAGAGCACTCCTGACACAAAAACTGATTTTTTGGGGTCTGACAGAGCCTGAAGTGTCCATTCCTCCCAAAATGGATTTCACACAAACTGTTAAAAACCCTTAACAGGGCACAGCCACCACCAGGAATAACCAAACTTCTGCCAGGGAAAGAAATTGCTTTTTTTTCCCCAAATTTGGCAGGGAAAGGCCCAAATGTGAGTCAGACATAAGGGTTTGTGTGGGGCTGATGGAAATGCCAGGGGGACAGAGCATCCTCTCTCTGGGTAATGCATCTTTTCATGTCAGAAACAGCTATAAAATAACTTGTAACAAAAATAAAATAAATCATCCTGGATGCAGCCAGTGGCTGAAAGTCTGAAGCAGATTGTCAGAACTTTTCAGATTCTTTATTTAAGTGGTTTTTAATAGAGAGAATCCCTGCAGACTTTTATTGCTTAAAACTCCAGAGGAGAGGAGAACTCCAGGAAAAACACAAAGAGCGAGCAGTGACCTCTGGGGGTGTCACCTCCCTGTTTGTGTCACCTCCCCGTTTGTGCCACCCCCCAATTTGTGCCACCCCCCATTTGTGTCACCTGCCCAGGGTGGCTCTGGGCTTTGTTCAGTGCTCAACACTCACATTTAGGGGTTGGGGTGCAGAGAATGGGGGCTCAGGGGGGCCTGGGCTGGTGCCACCCCTGGGATGGCATCACCTCAGTGCCAGTGTCACCCTGGGATGGTGCCACCCTGGGGATGGTGTCACCCTTGGGGTGGCATCACCTCAGTGCCAGTGTCACCCCTGGGATGGTGCCACCCTGGGGATGGTGTCACCTTTAGGATAGTGCCACCCTTGGGGTAATGCCACCCTTGGGGTAGCATCACTTCAATGCCAATGTCACCCCTGGGATGGTGTCACTACAGGGCTGGTGTCACCCTGGGGATGGTGTCACCTTTAGGATAGTGCCACCCTTGGGGTAATGCCACCCTTGGGGTAGCATCACTTCAATGCCAATGTCACCCCTGGGATGGTGCCACTATAGGGCTGGTGTCACATCAGGGCTGGTGTCACCCCAGTGCCAGCGCCACCCCCTGGCTGATGTCACCCTGGGGATGGCGTCACCCCTGGCCATTGTCACCGGCAGGAGGGGCTGCCCCGCTCACCGCTGGCTCCGCTCCCTCCTCCGGCAGCTCCGGGGCAGGGCCGGGCTCAGTCTCTGGAGGCAGCGATGCGATCCACCTGCAAGAGGGAACAACAGCAGCTCCACCTGCAAACGGGACAAGGGGCCCCAAAAACAACAACTGCTGCCTTTGCTGGGAATAAACTGCAGCTGGGGCTGCTCCCCTGGACATCCCCGAGGAAATGAACCCGTGAGGAACAAAGGGTAGAAATCCAGAGGGAAAATTCCAGGGGTGGAAATTCCTGGGTGGAATTCCAGGGGTGGAAATCCAGGGGTGGAAATTATTGGGATGGAAATTATTGGGGTGGAAATTCCAGGGGTGGAATTCCAGGGGTGGAAATCCAGGGATGGAATTCCAGGGGTGGAATTCCAGTGGTAGAAATCCAGGGGTGGAAATTATTGGGATGGAAATTATTGGGGTGGAAATTCCAGGGGTGGAAATTCAGGAGTGGAATTCCAGGGATGGAATTCCAGGGGTGGAAATCCAGGGGTGGAAATTCCAAAAGAGGAAATCCAGGGATGGAATTCCAGGGTTTTATTCCCTACAAAAGCAGCCAGGTGTTTTCAGCCCTGAGCCCCTGCTCTGACCTGACCCTGGGGGTCCCAGCCCAGCCAGGGCCCCCCAGGAGCTGGGGAAGGTGGGTGGCACTCCCTGAGCACGGCCAGGGGTGGGCTGTGCTCTCTCAGTGATCATTAAATAATCATTCAGTAATAATTAAGGTACAGGAACAGCTCTGCCTTAGGGGGATCTCTTGTTAAAGTGGGGAAAAGCCCATTTAGGACAGGGCAGTGAAATATGAGATGAAATGCAGAATCTCTGCCCCAGAAGAGCCTCCCTGGGCAGGACAGGGGCGAGTTCATCCCTGAGTTTTCTGCTTTGCCCCCCCAGCCCCAGGGGTCACCTCTCCTCAATGGATTTAACTGAAGACCAGGAATTCCGTTTGGTTAATGTAGGGCACTTGATTTTATTCAAAGGGTGAGATACAAAAAAAAGTAAGCAAAGAGACAAAACCCGAATGATGAACACTAGAGACAGAAAGAAGACAGCTCCTGCTACAGCACACAACAAACACGGTGCAGTCTGGTCCCCACAAGCCCAGCCAGCTGGATATGTACAGCACAGAGCATCTACACAGAGGAAATGTGGGTTTGCCACTCAAATGTCTATTTACAGAAACTGAATTGAAGGCAAAGAAGTTTTCTTTCCTTTTTTTTTTCTTTTTCTTTTTTCTTTTCTTTTTTTTTCCTTTTTTTTTTTTTTTTGCCAACCCAAATACTTTTGTTTCTTCTTCTTCTTCCTGTCCTGGTGAAGAGGAGGGACTCCATGCTTTGAGGCAAGTTTGGTACATTCAGGTAGGATCTAAAATTAGCCACAGCTAAACACTGACCTGCTAATTAAGCTACTTAATTCCAGCCCCTCCCTCCCTCCCTCCATCCACCAGGCACCTGCTTGTGGCACCAGGGACAGCCAGGGAGGGGACAGGCCCAGCTCTGCTCTGCTGCGTGTCATTTGTGCCCTCAGAGGCTTTGGGCTGGGCTTAAGGCTCAGGCTGAGGGTTCTGCTCATGCCAGGAGGCTGGGAAAGGCTCTGGGGGGTGGTTTTGGAGATGGCCCTGCCCAGGGGCAGCCCCAGGCACTGATGGGCTCTGCACAGAGTGCTGGCTGTGAGAAATCTGGGGGAAAAAACTGCCCCCAGCCCTTCTGCAGCAGAGCCAGGGGGATACAAAACCCTTCTGGCTGCAGCAAACTCCACGTGCAGCTCAGTTTGTGTGAGTGTGGAACCTGTGGGAACTGCTGGGCAGAAAGGGGTGCTGGGCTGGGAGCTCTCTGCTTTTTTTTTGGGAATTAAAACCCTCCAGGAGCTTCTGCAGGTGAGGGGCAGAGCTACTCACACCAAAATAAGCTGTGGCCACGGGAGGAGCTGCCAGTGCAGGTGGCAAAGGCCTCCCTTTGTATTTACCTGTGGCTCAATTTTAGACACAGAGCTACTGAATTTTGCAACACCTCAGTGAGGAAGGAGAGAATTTCACTGGCTCAGTAAGCAAAACATTCATTTGGGAGAGCAGAAGACTGACTGGCTGTTAATAAATACCACGAGACATCCTAAAAGCTTTCCAGGGGAAAGAGAGACATCATCTGCTCAGAAATGCAACACGGGGACAGAGTGAGGTAAGGAAAGCCAGCAGAGTCCTGTGTGCATCCCCACTTCACACTGCATGGCAACAACAACCACCAGGAGATGCCAACGAGCTCCCTGCCGTGCCCAGCAGGGAAATTCTTCCTACAAATGTGCTGCAGAGCATCCCTGGGGGCTGAGCCCACAGCAGCCCCCTTTGGGTCTGAGAGCAGAGGAGGGGGCACGGCCTGTGCCAGGAGCCATCCGTGCCCCCAGCTGCAGGGGCAGGGCTTGGTGTGGCACAGGGCACAGCCAGGGAGCTCAGCACGCCCCTGGCACTGCCAGCTCAGCTCTTTGGTCCTGTCTGCAGGCAGCTTCCAGCAAGGTGTGCCACTGGCACAGTGCCATGCCCCCTGCTCTGTGCCAGGCAGCAGGGAAGCAGGGCTGGCTGCAGGGGGAGGAAAAGGGCCTTGAAGCACCCCCTCGAGGGGATTATTAACTAATATTAATTAACAGATGCTGTTCTGAGAGCAAAGGATGGGGCACTGCACACACCCAGCCCTGCAGGGGCTCTGAAGCAAGCTGAGGAGGAGGAGGAGGAGGAAGAGCACCTCTCTCCCACCTGTGATTGCAAAATCCTTGTTTTTTCCTCAATTCTCCTCCTCCAGGGAAGCAGGGAGGGGGTACAGGTGGTGTTTAGGCACAGCTGTGCCAGGGCAGTGCCTCACACACAGCTTGTGCTGAACCAAAATGCAGAATTTATCACTTTGTTCTTCAACAGACACTGGCAGCACGGTGTGTTCCCAAACCAACAGCTGTGACAGGTTAATAAACACATGCACTGGCTTAGAGAAGCTTTTCCAGGCACCCAGCATTTCATTCCATTCCATTTCATTTCATTTTTCATTTCATTTCATTTTTCATTTCATTTCAGTCTCATCATCTGAGCCTTTGCTGGCACTGAACTGAAGTGAAGGAGTCCCTGGGGGTTTAGACCAAGCAGAATTGCCACAGAGTCTTTGGAATACTGGGCACTCCCCATTTTAAAGCCATTTTTCAGGGGCAGTAAATCCCCTGCAACAGTCACCAGCAGGTTTGACAGTGCCTGTGGAAAGCCAATTCAAAACCCAGCAAGATGGGAGGAAATTCACCTTTCCACATTAGGAAATGCATAATAACTGCCCTTGGATGACTCTGAAAAAGTCAGGTTTTCAGTCCTGAAGGTGTCATTTTCTGTGTCATTTCTGATTCTTCAACCTTGTTACAGAAATATGGCCAAGGTAATTTCTTTAGGCAATTTCTTTATTACCAAGGCAATTTTCAAAGGTTGTTTCTGTTGTGTTTATGGAGCCTTTTTATCTTTTTCAGGTGTTGCACAGAGCTGGGTCACTCAGGTGTGTCACAGCCAGGTGTGTCACAGCCAGGTGTGTCACCCCCAGGTGTGTCACCCCCAGGTGTGTCACACTCAGGTGTGTCACCCCCAGGTGTGTCACCCCCAGGTGTGTCACCCCCAGGTGTGTCACCCCCAGGTGTGTCACCCCCAGGTGTGTCACCCCCAGGTGTGTCACCCCCAGGTGTGTCACCCCCAGGTGCTCTCAGTGCCCCTCAGCTCCAGGGGAAATCCTCAGCACAGGAAAAGCTCCTCTTGTTTTCACAGCCCCAAGCAGCAGCAGCAGCAGCTCAGAGCCAGGTCCCGTGGCCACCATGGCCAGGAGATTGTCACTTGCTCTGGATTTGGGATGGATAAAACCCCCTGGAGGCAGCATCACCTCCCTGGCAGGCTGTGCCAGCTGAGTTCCCTCCTGCTCCTGAGGCAGGGGTGCACCCCAAGGCTGCCTGCAGCTTCCTTCACTGCTAAAATTCCTGCCCAGGCGTGAGCAGTGCCAGCTCCTGCTCCAGTGGTGTGTCCTGGTGTCCTGCTTCACTGCCTGAGAGCACCACAGGGCACTGGGAATTCCTTCAGAGCTTCCCCAGCAGTGACTGGGCTGAGCCACGTCGGGGAAGGGACAATGACACCAGCTCAGAGGAACCCCTCACCAGAGGACTCAGCAACCTTTAAGGAAAACCAGTTAACATCTTTCATGGAAGTATTGATCAAAAAAAAAAAAAATCCAGAGCTATTGATGTAGCACGTGGAATCAACTGGACAATCACTAATGCAATGGAATTATGGTGATCTTGTACACAAACAACAATTTACCAAAATAAGATTTACCTAGGGGGCTTTAAAATCGAGTTATTTTGGTACCAAAAAAAGTCTTTCATTTAATTCCCCTTTGCCCCTATGATTCAGATGATCTTTCACTCTACAGTTACGGACTTGGCCAGATTTCTTGGGAAATCAACCTGCAGAGAGGGAGGAGAAAGAACAGGCTGGTGAGTATTCACACCCTGCTTGGTTTGTGTATCACTTTGTAACCTGTGCAAGGTCTGCTCTGCCTTCCAATTGAAAACAATCCAGCACATTCTCACCATTGAGGCCAATTAATGTATAAAAAAATGTCTACAACCCTGCTTGCTGCATCTCCTGGCTCAGAGCTAGGCTGAGCTTTAGTCCAGGCTGTGCCCAGAGGTCACTGCTGACAGCCATGGGCTGGTGCCTGCACAAAGGTCAGAGCTAACACCAAACTGCCCATCAGAGAGCTCACACCAAACTGCTCCCCAAAGAGCTCTCACCAAACTGCTCCCCAAAGAGCTCACACCAAACTGCTCCCCAAAGAGCTCTCACCAAACTGCTCCCCAAAGAGTTAACACCAAACTGCTCCCCAAAGAGCTCACACCAAACTGTTGCCAAACACCCCCCCAGGGTTGCCACCCTCCCCTCGGTGCCCTGCAGCCCTGCCTGCTCCTGGCACAGGGGCACGGCCTCTGCAGCCCTGCATGGCTCCCTGCAGCCCTGCATGGCTCCCTGCAGCCCTGCAGCAGCTCAAGCAGTGGCACAGAGCAGCCCCAGCCCTGCAGCAGCCCCAGGGGGTGACACAGGGGGGGACACAGGGGGGGACACAGGCAGGGGGTGTGACACAGGGTGTGACAGGCAGGGGTGTGACACAGGCAGGGATGTGTGACACAGGCAGGGATGTGTGACACAGGCAGGGATGTGTGACACAGGGTGTGACAGGCAGGGGGGTGTGACAAGCAGGGGTGCTGTACTCAGGGTGTGTGACAGGCAGGGGTGTGACAGGCAGGGATGTGTGACAGAGGGGGTGTGACAGGCAGGGACGTGTGACAGGCAGGGACGTGTGACAGGCAGGGACATGTGACAGGCAAGGCGGGGATGCTGCACTCATGGTGTGACACAGGCAGGGATGTGTGACCCAGGGGGGTGACACAGGGGTGACACAGGCATGCTGTACCCAGGCTGTGTGACACAGGGGGGTGACACAGGGGGTGTGACACAGGCAGGGATGTGTGACACAGGGGTGACACAGGGGTGACACAGGCGCGCTGTACTCACATCGTAGCCCCTGAGCACGGCCAGGTGGAAGGCCAGCAGCTGCAGGGGGATGACGCTCAGGATGCCCTGCAGGCAATCCACCGAGTGGGGCACTTTGATTGTCCTTTTGTTGTTCTTGATGGTCTCGATGTCCTCCTTGTCACAAATCACCACAGGCCGGCCCTGCAACACACGGGGGGCTGAAGGGAAGCACACCTGGGGGGTTCCTCCCTCGCTGCTGTAATAAATTTTCCCAGGGGCAAAATTTATTACTTAAATTAGAATCAAACAGCTTCACATCCCCTGAGGGGATTTAAGGGTTGAACAGACTTCTGCAATTGCTGCAAGAACTGGTGTGAAATGGGCACAGTACTCAGGGAGCTCACAGGGGGGCAGTGACAGCCAGGTGAGCACTCTGGGGGGCTGTGAGTGACTTTCTGTCACAATCAGCAGCTCTGGAGCTCTGCAGCCCCCAGGTGAGCACTCTGGGGGTCTGTGAATTCCTTTTCTCTCAGAATCAGCAGCTCTGGAGCTCTGCAGCCCCCAGGTGAGCACTCTGGGGGGCTGTGAGTGACTTTGCTCTCACAATCAGCACCTCTGGAGCTCTTCAGCCCCCAGGTGAGCACTCTGGGGTCTGTGAGTGACTTTCCTCTCAGAATCAGCAGCTCTGCAGCCCCCAGCCCTCACCTGGCGTGCAATGACCTGCTGCAGGGCGTTCTGGCACTTGGCATAGGTGTGGTCTCTCATGATGATCATGATCACAGGCATCAGCTTGTCCACCAGGGCCAGGGGGCCGTGCTTCAGCTCCCCAGCCAGGATCCCCTCCGAGTGCATGTAGGTGATTTCTTTGATTTTCTGCAGTGGGGAGGAAAGAATTCATTACACTTCGAGCCACCTTGTCGTGGTTTTTAACCTCCCTTTGCCCAGGTCCAGCTCTGCTGAGCTCCCCCTGACCAGATCCAGCCTTGCTGAATTCCTGAATTCCTGAATTGCTGCACTTTGGAAAGCTCAGCCCTTCTCAGGTGCAGGTGAGGCAGAACACAAGGCCAGATCCAAGCAGAGCCCCTGGGCTGGGCTGTTTGCAGCCAGCTGTGGCTTCCAGCTGTGCCTTCCAGCTGTGGCTTCCAGCTGTGGCTTCCAGCTGTGCCACCAGAGCCCTCAGAAGGAGCCCTGAGCCACCCCCAGGCTGGCAGGGCAAAGAGGACACCTCTGCATGGCAATGGGGACAGCAATGGAGCAGGAATGGCCTCCAGTGTAAAAAATGCAGTGCAGGGGTTTGGAAAGTGCATGCTGAGTTTTGTATTGATGAGGGTGCAAATGTCCAGGAAAGCATTCCCAGGAAATGGAAAATACACCGTGCACCCCACGGCAGGCTGGGGTGTGGGAATCTGACAGTGACTTCTAGGTATTGGTGATTTTAGGTAATAGTAATTACTTAAATTTTAAATTTGTAGTTTTAGGTATTTGTAGTTTTAGGTATTTGTAATTTTAGGTATTTGTAATTGCCTAAATTTTAAATGTTAAATTTGTAATTTTAGGTAATTGTGATTACCTAAATTTTAAATTTGTAATTTGAAATATTTGTAATTTTTGGTAATTACCTAAATTTTAAATTTTGAATTTTAAATTTTGAATTTTAGGTAATACTAATTACCTAAATTTTAAATGTGTAATTTTAGGTTTTTAAATTTTGAATTTTAAATTTTGAATTTTAGGTAATACTAATTACCTAAATTTTAAATTTCAAATGTGTAATTTTAGGCATTTGTAACCATGGCACAGTTTGGGTTGGAAGGGAGCCTGAAGCCCACCCAGTTCCACCACCCCAGGCTCTCCAAGCCCCAGTGCCCAACCTGGCCTTGGGCACTGCCAGGGATGCAGGGGCAGCCCCAGCTCCATTTAACCCCGTGCCATGGAGCAGATTTGCTCCCTGTCTGGTTTGACACGTGTGTTTTTGTGTGAGCTATTAAATCAGAACATACCAGGGCTCCCTCCAGACACGTGGCGTAGTGGTAGCCCCGTCCCATGATGAGGACAGACTTCTGGTGGTACAGCTCCGTGGCCAGCTTCTGGATCTCATCATCCATGCTCAGCACCTCCTTGATCAAGTCTGGAGGGAGGTAAAACCCAGCTGAGTGTGCTCACACCCTGCTCACCCCCCAGCCAGCAGTGACCTGCAAACCCCTGGGCTCAAAGCTTGGCTGGCCCAGCTTGGCCTGGAGACGCCTGAGGGGATGTGGCTGAGAGGAACTGTGACAGCTCTGCCACCCTCCCTGCAAGGTCCAGCCCTGCTGAGCTCAGCAGCCCTGAGATCCAGCTCTGCCACCCTCTCTGCCCAGATCCAGCCTTGCTGAACTCCCTTTGCCCAGGCCCAGCCCAGCTGAGCTCCCCCTGCCCAGATCCAGCTCTGCTGAACTCCCTTTGCCCAGGCTCAGCCCAGCTGAGCTCCCCCTGCCCAGATCCAGCTCTGCTGAACTCCCTTTGCCCAGGCTCAGCCCAGCTGAGCTCCCCCTGCCCAGATCCAGCTCTGCTGAACTCCCTTTGCCCAGGCTCAGCCCAGCTGAGCTCCCCCTGCCCAGACCAAGCCCAGCTGAGCTCCCCCTGCCCAGATCCAGCCCAGCTGAGCTCCCCCTGCCCAGGCCCAGCCTTGCTGAGCTCCCCCTGCCCAGGTCCAGCCTTGCTGAGCTCCCCCTGCCCAGGCCCAGCCTTGCTGAGCTCCCCCTGCCCAGGCCCAGCCTTGCTGAGCTCCCCCTGCCCAGGCCCAGCCCAGCTGAGCTCCCCCTGCCCAGGCCCAGCCCAGCTGAGCTCCCTTTGCCCAGGTCCTACCTGGCAGCCCCTTGAGCCCCCTCATGATCTCCTTGCGCCGCTCCTGCATGGAGATCCTGTCGTCACACATCATCAGGGCAAACATCACCAGGGACACGAACTGGCTGGTGTAGGCCTGGGGGGCACAGGGAGGGTCACTGCTGCACCCAGCAGGTGCCCCCTCGGCCCAGAGAGGCAGCTCTGCTTGCAGGTCAGCAGCAGAAATGAGCCTGGGCTCACCAGGCTGGGCTCACCAGGCTGGGCTCACCTGGGCAGGGCTCACCTGGGATCTCCTCACAGCCCAGAAAATTCAGACACAACAACCAAGATTTGATATTCTGCATGCCCTGCTGACTGCCCAACCCTGTTTTGTGACCTGCAGGTGACTCTGAGAGCACGGGGAGCAGCAGGGCACTGCCTGGAGGTGTCTGGGGGACGCCCACCCCACCCCATCCCAACCAGATGGGATTTTTTTGGGCCACACTCAGGGAACACAAAGGCAGCTGTGATTCCCCAGCTCCCCTCTTTAGGAACATCCTCTCCCCTGCCTGAAAGAGATGTCCCTGCCTTTGGGGGGAATCCCTGGAGGTGACAAGAGGGGTCACACCAGGGCAGGAAGGTCACAGGGACACCTGAGGGACACCTGAGGGACACTGCAGCTGCAGTTTGCCCTCTGAGGTCCTCCCAAGACCAAAGTTCTTGGGGCCAGCCCGGTCCTGAAGGGCTGCAGAGCTCAGAGCAAGGTGTGGAGTGGTTTTGGCACTGAGCAGTGAGCAAAGTTCCACGTGGCTGCCCTGGGGTGGCTCTGAGGAGGCAGAAAAGCTGCATTTGTTCTGCCTGGAGGAGCTGCTGGGGAGTGGGAGCTCTCTGCTGTCACATCAACACGCCTGGGCTGTTTCGAATATTCCCAAAAGAAGCTCTGGGCAACCTCAGGGCAGAAACTTTTCAAGTTCTTATTTCCTCTATGCACAGCTTTGGTAACTCCCCACATGGTCAGAGGGAAAATGGCATTTATCTCCAAGCTGGCCATGTGAAAACAACAGGGACAAACAGCTCCTTCAAGAGCTTCTCGTAAGAGACTCATGAATTTTCCATGATCCAATCCCCCAATGAACTATTAAACTCAAATGTGGTTTTTGGCTGGATTTATGTAACAGATTGACATCATCTCGCCTCTAAATTTAACTAAACCAAAGCAGATTTCACCATGCAGAAACACTTCACCAAAGTGAAAGGCAGCAAAGTTCTCTTCTACTGTATCTCACCCAGCCAGAACAGTCCTGTTATCTGCACACAAATAGTGGGATTTTGTCAAAGACCATTCCCCCATTTGTTAAAAGGATAGTTTTAATGGCCCATTTTCTTTGGTAAAGCACAACCAGTGAGGGAGTTACATGCAGACAAAGTTTCCTTTATCTTATCTAAAAAAATTAGTTAATAAAAATAAAATTAATAAAATAAAATTAAAAATGTTAAGCAAATTTTAAAAATTAAAAAAAATAAAATAAAAATAAATAAAATAAAATAAAAAAATTTAATCAATTTTTTAAGGGGACACACAGGGGACACAGGGATGGGTGCTCAGTGCTGCTGCCACTGCTCATGGGCACTGCCCACACTGCCCAGGGTTGGTGCTCCCTGCAGAGCCAGCCTGAGCCCTGAGCACATGGCAGTGCCACCACAAAACCCACCTGCAGCTTTTGGTTAACAAAAGGCAGCTCTGGGGTTGTCCCTTCAACAAAAAACAGCTTGATTTGTTTCCTGGTTAATGAAAATTCATCCGGGCCAGGCTGCTGTGCTGCCCAAGGTGGATCCATTGAGGATTTAATAAATTTATTACTTTGTTCTGTAACTCTGCTCTAGGTCAGCCTTGCCAAGGCACCAACGCCACCCCCCAGAGGCACCAAACTGGGCCCTGCTGCCTCCCCCTCGGCCTGGGCAGGGAGGGGAGCCCAGGAGTACCTGACTGGCTGAGGAAGAAGCAGACATCGTCCCTGAACACGGGGGTGTTCCTGTCCAGGAAGTCACTGGCCAGCTCCACCATGACAGGTAACTCCGTCAGCTCCTCCAGCACCTGGCGGGTCTGGCAGGAAGGCAGGGATTATTACATCATGTTTATAAAAGCAAAAAAAAGCTTTCTAGCTGCCACACACGCTGGAAAGTATTACTGTTAAAACCCTATATGACAATTAGTGCTGGGTTACACTTTAATTACTCATATTGCCCACCAACCCCTGTGAGAAGCAACCTTGCCTTGGCACCACCACCAACTTTATTTGTTTTCCTGGTTAATAAAAATTCCCCCCTCCTGGGCAGGGAGGGATGGGGGGAAAACACACTGGCCTGTGGGGCCAACTGCTCCCTCAAATGGAGATTTCTCTAATTCCTACTTGTTATGTAACCCTCCACATAAATTATGTAATGCTGGGTGTCCTGTGTGTGTCCCAGCCTGAAGAACCCAAATGCCCACCCACATCCAGGCCCAGCTGGACCCCACCTGGCCCCCAGCAGCCCCTGCCTTGCTGCAGCCTTTGCATTCTGCTCCTGCAGCTGCCTTTTTGAGCACAGCAGGTTTTGTTTTCCAAAGCCTTCCACAGCCATGGAAGTCACAGGAGCCACTTCCCCAAGTTCAGCTTCATCAGCTTTTATTTCCTCTTGTTGCTGCTGTGAGCTGAGCCTGGTGTTTGCAGCTTTCACAAGGGTCCTCCTTCACTCACCTCTGTGCATTTGCTTATCCCTAACACCAATCCCTAACCTGAAATCAATCCTTAATCTGCTTGGCACACATCAGGGAGAGCTCAGAGCCTCCTGCAGGGCCTGAAGGGGCTCCAAGAGAGCTGCAGAGGGACTGGGGACAAGGGCTGGAGTGGCAGGACAAAGGGGAATGGCTTTAAACTGAGAAAGGGTAGACTTAGGTGAGATTATTAGGAGGAACTTCTTCTCTGAGAGGGTGGGACGGCCCTGGCACAGGGTGCCCAGAGCAACTGGATCCCTGGCAGTGCCCCAGGCCAGGCTGGACAGGGCTTGGAGCAGCCTGGGACAGTGGGAGGTGTCCCTGCCATGGCAGGGGTGGCACTGGGTGGGCTCTCGGGTCCCTGCAGCCCACCCCAGCCCTGATTCTGGCCCTGGGCCCAGCACTCACTGCCACTCCTGCGTGGTAGCTCGTGCCACAGGCGATGAGGATCAAACGCCGGCACCTCTGGATCTCCTTGATGTGATCCTTCAGCCCACCCAGGTTCACTGTGGGCACAGCAGAGAGACAAATCAGGGTGGCCAGGCAGGAGGAGCTCCCAGGTCACTGGTGCCAACAGCCTGCCACCATCTCCATCACCCACTGTGCAGAAAACCAGCACAAGTGGGACCTTGCCAGCAGCACAGGGAATTCTGGAGGCACTGTGGCACACATTTCATCTCACCCAGCAAGGTTTCCACCCCCTCCCTCCCTGCAACTGCTGGACCCTGAGTGAGGATCAAGCTCAATTACCAGTGTAGTCATCAAAGTTGACCCTTCCTCTCATGGTATTAACAACAGATTCTGGCTGTTCAAATATTTCCTTCTGCATGAATGAGCTGAAGTTACCTATGAAGAGAGAGAGAAAACAAATTAGAACACTTTATCACCTGATAACTTAAATTTTAAATTACCTCCTGCTAATTGCCATTTTTCCCGTGTATGTAGAGAAAAGCTTGGGCCAGCCAAAGATTATTAAACTGGTTTTCTGCCAAAACACCAGCTCATGATGAGAGCTTGATTCGAGTTTCTGGAAGGCAGTGAAGGGCAGATCCAGACTGGCAACTTTGTGAGGGATCAGTCTTGGTTAAAAACCAGATGGGTTCAAAGAAGGAGGCAAAATCCTCAGCCCCGCAACTCTCCTCAGTAAGGAATCAACAACAAGAGGAGAAATCCCATGACATGTAAGGACTTTTTTCCCCATGAAGATGACCCAGCACCAGACCAGGCTGTGGAACCTCAGACCTTGGAGATGCTCCAGACCAGAGCAGAGCCTGTCCCCACTCAGGGCAGGGGTGGCACAGGGTGACTGCAGTCCCAAGCTGAGCATTTTACCCTCAAGCAGGAGGCAAAATCCCCAGCCCCACAACTCTATAGACTAGAGAAGAAGTCCCATGACACTGAGGACATTTTTCCCCATGAGGACAACCCAGCACCAGACCAGGCTGTGGCACCTCAGACCTTGGAGATGCTCCAGGCAGCTGTCCCCACTTGAGGCAGGGATGGCATGGGGTAACTGCAGCCCCAAGCAGGAGGCAAAATCCTCAGCCCCACAACTCTAGACTAGAGAGGAAATCCCATGACACTTGAGGACTTTTAACCCCGTGAGGATGACCCAGCACCAGACCCAGCTGTGGCACCTCTGGAGATGCCCCAGGCTGCTGTCCCCACCCGGGGCAGGGTGGCACGGGGTGCCTGCAGCCCCAAGCAGGAGGCAGGCAGGGCTCTCACCCTTCATGATCTGCTGCAGCTCCATCTGCAGGGTCTGCACGGCCCGGCCCGGGTGGTCGCCGGCCGTGCGCTTGACGCGGTGGATGGACAGACGGCCGTCCACCACGGCCGCCACGTCGTCGTCCTCCAGGAAGATCACGCGGTTGGTGTGCTCGATGACCGCGCTGTGGGGACACGGGGACATCACAGCCTGCTCACGGGGACACCACAGCCTGCTCACGGGGACACACTGCACCCCCCAGCACCCCCAGGGGTGAGCAATGCCCTGCTCTGTTAAAACCCTGAAATGTGCATTTCTGTCCTGGCAACGGTGCCATAAAGGGGATAATTAGCATTGACTCCGTGATTGCACAAGGCTGATCCATTGCTTTATTAAGCTATATTATACTATACTATCAAGATATACATTATACTATATTATATAGTATGTAATATGTACTCTATTATACTATACTATCAAGATATACATTATACTGTATTATATAGTATATAATATGAACTCTATTATACTATACTATCAAGATATACATTATACTATATTATATAGTATGTAATATGTACTCTATTATACTATACTATTAAGATATATATTATACTGTATTACATAGTATATAATATATATTCTATTATACTATACTATCAAGATATATATTATACTATATTATATAGTATATAATATGGACTCTATCATACTATACTATTAAGACATATACTATATTATATAATATATAAAATATACTATATAATATGCACTCTATTATACTACAAAGATATATAATATATTATGCTGTATTATATAGTATATAATATATACTCTATTATACTATACTATTAAGATATATAATTTATTACACTATATTATATAGTATGTAATATATTCTATTAAGATATATAATATAATATATTATATTATATAATATATATACTATATTACACTATACTATTAAGATATATATTACATCCTATTATATAGTGTCATATATTTTATTATATAGTATATAATGTATACTCTATTATACTATAAAGATATATATTATATTATATAGTATATAATATATACTGTATTATATTATACTATTAAAATGTATATTATACTGTACTATATAGTATATAATATATACTCTATTATACTGTACTATTAATGTATATAATATATTATATATTGGCCGGCTCATTATTAATTTTGTTATTAATTTTCATTACTAATTTTCTCTGCCCGTCTGTAAAACCAGGGCAGTTTTGTGCCCTGGTAAGGCAGCTGAGATCTGCTCAGCAGCACACCTGGAGAGTCACTGAAAAGCCCTAAAACCAGAGCACATCAGGGTGTGCTGAGAGCCTGCACAACCCTCTGATGGAAGGAGCTGCAGAAAGCAACCACAGCAGTGTTCCCACATTCCTGGAGCAAGCATTTCTCATCCTCTTGAACCAGAGAACCCCAAAGACTCTGCTAAGGCTGCTGCCAAGCTGGTCTCTCCTCACTCCTCTGGGATTACCTTTGATCATGAAGGAATTGCACGAGTGCAGAGACCCCTGGAGAATCAACACAATTCTCCTCATAATTAGCACCTGGCCTGTTAATTTAGGTCAGGACTCTCTCAGGTTTCCTCTCACTGGGAAATCTTCCCAACAGATGAGCCTGAAGAATGGCAACACTCTATTCCAAGGCCAGTGCTCATTACTTTAACAGCAACTCTGTTCTGGTTAGCATTTGTGAAATAATCAGTAAAGTAATTAACAAAGAAACCCCAGCCTCCCCCTCTCTTGTTCCAGAGGCCTTTAAACAGGATATTTCTACACACACCAGAGATGCTGGAAAACCCTACCTGGCATCAGAAGCAAAGTAATACTCCACAGCTTTCTCCTCCACGGGGAAGAGGCAGGTGGTGCTGTCCACCCGGGACAGGTTGCAGCTCCCCTTCTTGTCCTTCCCTAGGAGACAGTGGGCTCAGGGGCTGCCCAGGTGACAGCCCTGGCACAGGTGACACCCAGCACAGCCCCCAAAGCACGGTACCAACATGAAGCACTATTTTCATGCCTGCAGGTGGGCACAGCAAAAGGAGCAGCAGCACCTGTGCCCATCCTCAGCTGGCTTGCAAGGGTTTTGTTGCTTTTTGAGAAGTGTATTACTAGTGCAGTCTGGAGTTTAGAGGAAAGTATCAGGAGAAAATCCAAATTGTGTGGCTCCACTGGCAGAGAATTCAAGGTGCTTTATGAGCAGCCACATTTCCCTGCTAAACCTGCCCTGCTGATCATTTTAAGTTTCTCCCCTGTTCCTCTCTGCTGAGCCCCCAGAGATGGAGCAGCACTGCTCTTTCTTTGTCTGCTACCCTCAGCACTGGGGGAATTCTTTCAGAGCTGCCACCTGTGTGCCCACCCAGCTCCCCTGAGCAGCAGGGGAACCCAAACCTACTTCTGCCTGCCTGAGCTCCCTGCCAGACACAGCTCAGGAAATCCAGGATTAAGAGCTCAGCCTTGTTCCTGCACTAGCAAACAAAGCCACCTCACCCTGACCAGGAAATCACACCTGTGCTCTGGCCAGGGAGGTACCCAGGGGTGCTGGGGGACACAGCACTGAGGGCCAGCTTTGGAAAAATCTGCCCTCAAAGTTCAGCCTGTCACCAGGGATCCTTTCTGGAGTACTCTGGAAATTCCCAACTGTCTCCTCTTCCTCCTCCTCCTCCAAACTGCTGCTCAGTGGTGAAGCTCATCAGGGATGCAGATGAGGCACCCAACACCTACTGCTCAGCACCAGCCTCCAGCAAAATTATTTGCCAGTCATTGTGCAGGGTATGGGGAGGGAGGGGGTGGATTAATCAGCTTATCTCCCAAAATGGGACTATGGCTGAAGAACTTCAGTGTTGAAGTTACTCCATTCTATATTTATTGCACAATCCTGATGTTGTTTCACCTACTAGACACTGATCTGATTCAGTGATGCAAGCAGAGCTCGTGGTGCTCTGGTTTCCACTTCTGCAGATGAAAATGTGAAGGAAAAATACTGCTTTCATGTTGATACTCAGTGAGAAAGGCCCACTCAGGCAGTGATTCAGAGCCTTCCAGTGCAGTTATCAGGTCAGTAAATGAGGAAAACAGTGCCTTTGTTGTTGAGCTGAGACAGGACAGACTGATTTGGTGTTGAGAAGGGACAGAGCAGAGCTGCCAGTGGCCACTCCCCCACAGAAGCACCCAGACCTGATCAGAACATGCAAATTTGGGTTCTCAAAATAGAGCATTTCCCTGCATTGGCTTCATTATGTGGCACTGCTTTCCTGCACGACAGCTTCTGCAGATGCAAGCACATCCTCCCCCTCACAGAAAAGGGCTCTCCTGCCTCAGATGTGAGCTGCTCCATCCCATCATGTCATGGGCTGGCCTTTAAAGCACCTCAGGACAGTACCAGATGGTTCCCCCTGATAAATGAACAGGGGAAGGAAGGCCCAGCTCAGGCCAAGCTTAGTGCAGCCCCCAGAGGCTGCAGCTCAGCCTCTCACCACAACCAGGGAGAGGACAGGGCTCTGACAACCCCAACTCCAGAAGGAATTTTGGGCAGTGCTGGCATTAGGACTGGCAGCAGCCTCCTGCTTTAGTGGGGGTTATTTTTAAGGTAATTCACTGTCTCCTTCTGCAGCCAGAGCTGCAGGAACACTCAGTACAAGCTGCACTGTCATCAGTTTTTGCACATATGCTGAGCATTATGTCCCAATATTTGAAGTGGGATGGGTGGATTTTCCTGTGTGCTGCTCGTGGTGTTTCTGATCAAGAAGGAATTTTGATTTTCCCACATGTTTCACTACACTACACGGAAAGCAATAGCCACATATTATAAAGACAATGCATCTTGGTCCCATTCATGATTCCTTTTCTAAGGAGCTGGAGGATTTGTCTGAAATTTCAAGTGTTAGCTTTTCTCTGGTGGGCACCTTCCTCCATTTTTATGGATATTCCATCAAAAGAATGATCCATAGATTGTACGGCTGGAAGTGCAATTGGAAAAAAACAAACAAACAAACAAACCAAATTTGAGATATTCAGTAAAAAAACCACAGTGTTACATAAATACATTCATGTTACTGCTAATCATGCAATGAAAAGGCAAAGCTGCTGGGCCTGGCTCTTGCAGCAGGACAGGAGAGCAGCTCCTGGGACCCTGCACTGCTCAGAACACAAGTCCAGCTCCCAGGCACTGGGCAGGCTCAGACCCCTCTGACCTCAGGGAATTACAGAGAAATTCTCAGTACTTTTCATTTCCAAGGGTGTCTGTGAGAGCAGGATGGACAGACAACACCACCAGGCATTGTCCCATGAAGGGTGACAGCTCCCACAAATGAGGTGGGGTGGCAGGGGCAAGGGTTGTGGCAGTGCCAAGGGACAGGCAAGGGCTGTGGCAGTGCCAAGGGTCAAACCAGGGCTGTGGCACTGCCAAGGGACAGGCAAGGGCTGTGGCAGTGCCAAGGGACAAACCAGGCCTGTGGCAGCCCAAGCCCCAGCTGCAAAGCTCTCTCGTTGTTCCTGAAAAGCACCAGGCTCACAAATGCCCAGGTGCCACGTGCAGAACAGACTGCAGCTGAGCTGCACTGTTTCATTTCCTACACTGAGCTGTTCCACCAGCCCTGGAGTGTCCCAGGCCAGGCTGGACAGGGCTTGGAGCTCCCTGGGACAGTGGGAGGTGTCCCTGCCATGGCAGGGGGGGTGGAACAAAATGGGCTTTAAGGTCCCTCCCAACCCAAACCATTTCATGACTTTATTTTTCTACACTAAGATGTATTTTCCTCACAGTAACTGGATATTAAAGCTGTGGCCAGCCTGAGGTATGAGGTGGGTGAAATGCATGGTTAACAACTTGCTTTTTAAAAAAAAACAACTCTCTAACAGAGGTTTAATTTCTGATTACCTGAAATCTGCATTTCAGAGCACACAGCTGTGCGTGCCCTGGAGCCCCAGGGTTGGGGCTGGGGTTGGGGTTGGGGCTAGGGTCAGGGTCAGGATTGGGGCTGTCCCCTCTCACCTGTGCAGTACAGGATGGGGATGGGGTTTAGGGCTGGGGTTGGGGTTGGGATTGGGGTTGGGGCTGTCCCCTCTCACCTGTGCAGTACAGGATGGGGATGGGGTTTAGGGCTGGGTTTGGGGTCAGGGCTGGGATTTTCCCCTCTCACCTGTGCGGTACAGGATGGGGATGTGGTCTGTGGATTGGGGTTAGGGTTTGGGGTTTAGGGTTGGGTTTGGGGTCAGGGTTGGGGCTGTCACTCTCACCTGTGCGGTACAGGATGGGGTTAGGGTTAGGGTTGGTGTTTAGGGTTGGGTTTGGGGTCAGCGTTGGAATTTTCCCCTCTCACCTGTGCGGTACAGGATGGGGATGGGGTTTAGGGCTGGGTTTGGGGTCAGGGCTGGGATTTTCCCCTCTCACCTGTGCGGTACAGGATGGGGATGTGGTCTGTGGATTGGGGTTAGGGTTTGGTGTTTAGGGCTGGGTTTGGGGTCAGGTCTGGGATTTTCCCCTCTCACCTGTGCGGTACAGGATGGGGTTGGGGTTTAGGGCTGGGTTTGGGGTCAGGTCTGGGATTTTCCCCTCTCACCTGTGCGGTACAGGATGGGGATGGGGTTTAGGGCTGGGTTTGGGGTCAGGTCTGGGATTTTCCCCTCTCACCTGTGCGGTACAGGATGGGGATGTGGTCTGTGGACAGCTTGTGCTCGCTGCGCACGCCGATGAGCAGGGGGCTGCCTCGCCTGCAGGGACACAGGGACAGCTCAGCCCCTGGGGACACCCCCACGCCCCACCCAGGCCTCGTGCCCCCCTCAGCTGCAGCAGGGCACAGCCAGAGCCCCCCGGAGCAGCTGCTGCAGACAGTGAAACAATCATGGGATAAAGAACACAAGAAGGAACACAAGAAGGTGAGGAACCTGCATCAGGGTTGGAGAAACTTCCCCAGAGTCACTGCACCCCTGAACCAGGGGCTGCCCCTCACTGCACACACCCACACACAGCTTTAGGCACTGAAGCTCAAGCCCAGCTGATGCTGGTGTTGAAAAGTGGGACAGAAAACCTGAACACGAGGCTGGCCCAAATTCCAGGCCATGTGGAGAATATGTCCCACTGCTGCCACAAGGGCAAGCACAAAGGAAAAGGTAAAATCCTCTCCTTTCAGGTCATCCCCAGACGATACCAAAACAAAGCTGTTCCAGACCAGGTGTGGTACAGCTGGCCAAGAAGAAATTTCCAAAATAATTCTGGGAACTTTCTGTTATGACAGATGGAAAACAAGAGAAAGGAAATTAAAAACAACAACCACCCTCTCCCCAGCACATAAGAGTGTGATGAGAATGATCTCCACTCTGGCTTCTAACTTGGGGGTACAAAAACAAGTGCCAGACAGGGTGCAAGGGTGTTCCTTCCCATGGCAACACTCACCTGGTACCAACTGCCTGCCCAGGGTAATGAACACTCTTGAACACAAGGGCAAAAGCACCTTCCTGCAACAAGAGAAACAAATGTTTATCCCCTCAGCACTGGCACTGTCTCAGTGTTCCCAGCACAGAAACTGCTCCTGTGCTTTTGTGGACACAAAAGATACACCAAAGAGGTTCCACAGATGTTTCCAGAACTGCCTGTAGCTCCAGACCCCCTGAGCATGGCAGCACATCCTCAGCCACTGAACCCCCAGAGACACATCCAGACTCCCCTGGTTACCCAAGTGGCTCCTGCTTTAGCTCAGGGTGCAGTGAGGGCACCTGAGAGGCAAAGATCTGCCAAAAGCAGCACCAAACTTGAGGGTGTTTGCTCAGCTGAGGTGTCACAACCCTCCAGCAACACGAGTTCCTGGCAGGTAACCCAGAGAAAACCCAGCTGAGTGCTGTGGGTGGGAGGGGAGCTGTGGTGGGCCCTGCTCCTGCACACCAGCAGGCACTGGAGGCAGAGCAGCTCCCAGCAGGGGTCAGCAGCAATCCCTGGAATGATGGAGCTCTGGGAAGGACTGGGAGCAGCTTTGGGAAGGACTGGGAGCACCACAGACTCTCCCAGGATTGCTGGAGCTCTGGGAAGGACTGGGAGCAGCACAGACACCCCCAGGCTGGGGTTTTAGGAAGAACTGGGAGCAGAACAGACTCCTCCAGGATTGCTGGAGCTCTGGGAAGGACTGGGAGCAGCACAGACTCCCCCAGGTGGGTTTTGGGAAGAACTGGGAGCAGCACAGACACCCCCAGGCTGGGGTTTTAGGAAGGACTGGGAGCAGAGAGCACCACAGACTCTCCCAGGATTGCTGGAGCTCTGGGAAGGACTGGGAGCAGCACAGATTCTGCCAGGTTGGGGTTTGGGAAGGACTGGGAGCATCACAGACCCTCCCTCCCCACTCCCACCACCCCAGCCAGGAGCTGGCAGCCTCCAGCACTGCCATACCCAAGAGCTGAGCCCCTTCCCAGATGAACACTGCCAAACCTCCCAAAAAACCACACACCCCTGAGCTGAGCCAGAGGCAGCAGACACAAAGCCCTGCCCTGGCAGGTGCCCCAAGCCCCCCGCAGCAGCGGCACGGCCACGCTGCAGCTCCCTGCCAGCTCTGGGGTGCAGGGGGCATTTCTGGGGCTGCGTGCCCGCTGTGCCCATGCCCAGCTGCCCTCCCTGCGTGCCCCCAGCGTTACCAGCTGCTGGATGACCCTCTCCACCAGCGTGGAGAAGCTGATGTCGTCGCTGTCGCGGTTGTCGTACATGTACTTGACCAGCTTGACGATGCTCTCCGTGTCCGTCTCCGACTCGAAGTCGTAGCCCTTGCTCTCCTGCAGGGACAGCCCTGTGGGTCACCAGCCCTCTGCCTCCCCTCCTTCCCTTCCTTCCCTTTCTTTGCTTTCACTACTCCTTTTCCTTCACCTTGCCTTTGGCTTTTTCTTCCTTATTTTTCTCATGCTCTTCCCTTCCTCTGCTCCTGCCTTCCCCCCTTTACCTTTCCTTTTCCTCCCCACCTTCCCTTTCTTTGCTTTTACTACTCCTGAGCAGCACACCTTGCCTTTGGCTTTTTCTTCCCTCTTTTTCTCATGCTTTTCCTTTTCTCTGCTCCTGCCTTCTTCCCTCACCTTTCCTTTTCTCCTTCCCACCTTTCCTTTCTTTGCTTTCACTCCTTTTCCTTCACCTTGCCTTTGGCTTTTTCTTCCCTCTTTTTCTCATGCTTTTCCTTTTCTCTGCTCCTGCCTTCCCCCCTTCACCTTTCATTTTCCTTCCCTTTTCTTCTTTTCTCACCCCCAGGGGTCACTCACCAGGAATTTCTGCAGGTCCTTGTAGTTGGTGATGATGCCGTTGTGGATGACGATGAACTCTGGGGACAGAAGAAAAGCCCTGCTCAGCCCCAGGAGCTGCAGGGGAGCCCAGGAGGGGCTGCAGAGGATCCCAGGACCCAGCAGGAGCTGCAGAGGAGCCCAGGAGGGGCTGCAGGGGAGCCCAGGAGGAGCTGCAGGGGAGCCCAGGGCCCAAGAGGGGCTGCAGGGGATCCCAGAACAGGCTTTTTCTTCCCTCTTTTTCTCATGCTTTTCCTTTTCTCTGCTCCTGCCTTCCCCCCTTCACCTTTCATTTTCCTTCCCTTTTCTTCTTTTCTCACCCCCAGGGGTCACTCACCAGGAATTTCTGCAGGTCCTTGTAGTTGGTGATGATGCCGTTGTGGATGACGATGAACTCTGGGGACAGAAGAAAAGCCCTGCTCAGCCCCAGGAGCTGCAGGGGAGCCCAGGAGGGGCTGCAGAGGATCCCAGGACCCAGCAGGAGCTGCAGAGGAGCCCAGGAGGGGCTGCAGGGGAGCCCAGGAGGAGCTGCAGGGGAGCCCAGGGCCCAAGAGGGGCTGCAGGGGATCCCAGAACACCAGGAGGGGCTGCAGGGGATCCAGGAGGGGCTGCAGAGGAGCCCAGGCCCCAGCAGGAGCTGCAGAGGACCCCAGGAGGGGCTGCAGAGGACCCCAGGAGGGGCTGCAGGGGATCCCAGGCCCCAGCAGGATCTGCAGGGGTTCCCAGGAGGGTAGTTGGTGATGATGCCGTTGTGGATGACGATGAACTCTGGGGACAGAGGAAAAGCCCTGCTCAGCCCTAGGAGCTGCAGGGGAGCCCAGGAGGGCGGCAGGGGCTGCAGGGGATCCAGGAGGGGCTGCAGAGGAGCCCAGGCCCCAGCAGGAGCTGCAGAGGACCCCAGGAGGGGCTGCAGAGGATCCCAGGAGGGGCTGCAGAACCTGCAGGGGAGCCCAGGAGGGCGGCAGGGGTTCCCAGGAGGAGCTGCAGGGGAGCCCAGGGAAGGCACTGACCGTTGTTCTTGTCCGAGCGCTGCGGGTGGCTGTTCACGGGTTTGGGCTCGCCGTGCGTGGCCCAGCGCGTGTGGGCGATGCCCAGGTGCACGTCGAACTCGATGTCCAGGTCCATGTCCTGTTGCTCTGCAGCAGAAAGTTTCACTCCTGAGGGGCTGTCCACACCCCAGGTCAGCCTGGGAGTCTCACCAGGCCTTGGGGAATACGGGACAGCAATGCTGGCAGGGCCAGCAAACCCCACAGGACACAGGAAAGACCTTTAGCATCAACAAAGGCCAACAAAAACCTCGAGGGGTTTGAGGGCAGATGCACACAGAAAACAGCCCTGCACTCCTCACTCTGCCAAAACAAAAAGCAGCCTCTAAGGAAGAGCCCATGCCTGGATCACCAGGCTCTTCACAGTTCATCCCTGAGCTTTACACCTCTGGAAATAGCTTTACACCTCTGGAAAGTCACGTTTGTGGGTAAAACAGGGGATATTCAAAACAAAAATGAGGAAAGGGAGATACTCACTGTGAACCTCTTCATCCAGAGCCTTCACTTTCCCCGTCTGCTTGATAATGTGGATTTTGCAAGCATTGGCCTCCCAGTCTTTGTCATTTCCTCCATCCAGTCCCACACCTGAACCCCACCGTGGAACATGGAGAAAGAGGGTCAAGTGCAGAAGTTATTGCAGTGTTTTATATCAACAAATTCTGCCTTTTGATTCTTCCCGAGCCCTTTCTCCAAGAGCTGGCCTGCCACATAAAGGCAAGAAACCCTTTATGTTAGAATTAAGTTTTCCCTTTGTCGTCTTGTCAGTATTTTAAAGCCTTTTGGGGGAAAAAAAAAATCAAGAATGCTTATAGAAATCTGTACATTGAAGTTAATCCAAACCTCTGACCACAGACACATGCAGTTTGTGTTCCAGCTTTCTTCAACAGCAGAAGGTGGCAGAACCCATTGACATGACAGCAGGAGAAGCCCCCCAGCAAGGCCAGAGCCCCGGCAAGGGCAGAGGTACCTGCAGAGTCGTAGCCCCGGTACTCCAGGCGCTGCAGCCCCTTGATGAGGGTCTCCAGGATCTCCCTCCTCGTCCTGGGCACATGGTAGTTCAGGTAAGCAAAGATGCCTGTGTGGGGAGAGGAGAATCAGGGCCAGCTTGGCTAAATCTGACCCCAAAACACACAGATGTTGTTTTTCCTGCAGATTTCAGCAAGCTCAGTCACACCTGAATTAAAAAAAAACCCCAACCAAGAGCCCAAAGCCTGGCTCCTTGTCCCAGATCCCAAATGCTGGCAGTGCACAACAAAATGGGCACAGAGTGGCAGTGGCTCCCCACAGGGAGGGGTGGGAGGAGAGGGAAAGGCAGAGTGTTCATCCCTGCCTGTACTGCAAACAAACACTGAACACCCATCCAGGAAGGAGCCAGCTTGGCACTGAAAACAGCTATTAATTACAGCACAATTATATTAACATTATTCATGAGGCCTGTGGAAAAAACCCCTGAATCCAAGGCTAAGAACGGCATGAAAAAACCCCAACCCTCCCAAAAAACCAACCCAAGGAATTCAGTGCTTCTCAGAAAACACACTATGAAAACTAAGGGAACCAGAAGAAACACAAATACAGTGTTAATGCCATGAAATATGGACATGCTCTTCCAAAAACCAGACCCTGGGAGATCCAGTTTTGATTCAGTTCAGCTTTTAGATCCTGAGAGGAAAATAGCAAGAATGATAATAGAGATGCCACTGGGAAAATGAAATTCTAAGAACTCATCTGTGAGCAACACATTTTACAAATGAGAAGGCAAGTGAGACAGGGATGTTTAAAACTCACCTTGGAGAAAACAGGAAAAATGAAATAAAAATAAATATGCTTAAATGACGCATAATTAAAGTAAAAAGTGAGACCATAAGGTTCCTGTAAAAGAACACAAGTCTTCCTAAATGTATGACTTACTAATCTGCAGGCCAATATCCAATATTTGAAGGCTTATCACCTATTTGTGATACTTATCACGATGAACTATGTGTAAATAAACTTCATTTATTGGAAATATTTACAAATGTGTTTCATTTTCCCCTTTCCAAACATCCTGTAATGATGTAATACCTCATAGCTGGGGAAAGTTTGAATCCCCACGTAGAAAACAGCATTTTCTCTGTCTCTTAACCACTGGATCATTCACATCTGAGCAGCCACACCTTGTAACCACTTCCAATTTTAAGTCCAGCTCCCAAATGCACTTCCCAGCCCAGAAAAGGCTTTTGTCACACCCCAGAGCCACAGTGCCCCGTTCAAGCCTTGCTCTCCCCCTCCCTGAGCTGATATCCGAATCAATCAGGACACGAAAAGACACCAAGTGTGTCAGGAGCCCTCTCAGGAGGGACAATTTCTCCCTCAGAGTGACAACTCTTTGAAATCCCCAATGGAAATGTTGTTTTTGGGGGGAATTCCACGGAGCTGTGCACCACCAGCCTGGAAGAAACCTGCTGGAGATGCACAAACTCGGAGCAGAACCTGAGTTTCGGGTCCCCAGCAGAGCCAAAGAGGAGTTTTGGTTTCAGTGCACTTTTAGATGCCTTTCCAGGCAATGCTTTCCACACCTGCCCTCACATGCAAGAGGAAGCACTCCAGAAAACCAGGATCTCCAGTGACATTTAATCATTCTGGCTGGCATTGTTGGAGGTGAAACACACATGACACAAAACCACACATGACACAAAAACACACATGACACAAAAACCCAGCCCTGGGAACTTCCTTCTCTCCAGCTCTGCAATTGAGAATTGCCAGCTGCAAGAGAGAGAGCAGGCAAGGTGTGCAGGGATCCCCAGCTGGCAGAAAACACAACTCCCCTGTCTGCAGCACGCTGACAAACTCAGGACTCAAGCCCAGTGCAAGTCAGAATGAGACCAGCAGTGACACTTCCCAGCACAATAACACATTTCAGCTGCTAACCCCACACTGCACTTTGCATGTGTGGACTGGAAAGGGCAGCTCAAAGCATGTCAGCTCATCAGACAGCTCTTGAACCACGCTGAGATCCACAGCAAGAAGTTTTCTGGAGTGAAATACCTTGAATAATATAATCTAGAATATAAAGCATTTCCTTTCTTGCAGGTTTGCCTTAAACATCCCACCAGAACAGGCATTCAGCTGCTTCTGACACTCAGCTCTCTCGTGGAGCTGATTTTTAACACTCAAGCACAAATCCTAGGCCTTCTGAACACCAGCTACATAAGGAATTCCCTACAAAGAGTTGGCTTTTTTAATAGAATAACATTTCCATCAAATGGGCATTATTGATTTCTATAGCTGACAGTCACTTTCTCTGAGAACTTTATTTTCCCCATGAACTTTTTTTGGAGCTCAGGTTCCTTAATTTCACATTCACAGGCAAATGAAATCACCCCTTGCAGGTAAATTATTGAGATACATGAAGGAATAGCTTCTTGCAATCCACTCCCTACAAAAGCAGAAAAGCCTTCAGGCTGGGTTTACTTCCAAATTCCTTTTCCTATTACTGTTAACTGATTTCCATAGACATTGTTATCAGTACATCCACCTGGCAGTTCCAAGGAATGCTTTATCCCAGAATGCTGCTCATCCCTGCTGGAGGAGCCTCTGGAGGTGCCCTGTGCCCCAAACCATCCCTTTTTCTGCCCAGTCTGAGGAGCACAAGGTCAGGCCAAGCTGGCTGGCACTGTTATGTCTGGGAGCTGCACAGGGGAGAGCTGACACTCAATTCATCACCTCCAGGCTGGAAAAAAAAAACAACAAAACCAGACAAACATTGCTTGGGGATCCACATTTGTCCACTGGAAACTTCTCTCGCTGCCCACGCTCCCTCTCCAGCCAAAAAGGGCAGGATTTCTCCTGGTAAACAACCAGAGCAGCAATTGCAGGACTCACTGAGGCACAGCTCCATGCTCCTCTCCAAGGCAGGCACCAGGCACAGCCAGGGGTAACAGATGGGGAAGGGCTGAATGCAACCCCAGAACTAAAAACTCAGGTCTTTCCTAAGCCCATTTTTATCTTCAGGAATCACTAGTAAAGCAAGACCTGAATTGTACCATCCCAGACCTGAATTGTACCATCCCAGACCTGAGTTCTGCCACCCCAGACCTGAGTTCTGCCATCCCAGACCCAAATTCTGCCATCCCAGACCCGAACTCTGCCACCCCAGACCCGAAATCTGCCACCCCAGACCCAAATTCTGCCATCCCAAACCTGCATTCTGCCATCCCAAACCTGAACTCTGCCATCCCAGACCCGAATTCTGCCACCCCAGACCCGAACTCTGCCATCCCAGACCCGAACTCTGCCACCTCAGACCCAAATTCTGCCATCCCAAACCTGCATTCTGCCATCCCAGACCCGAACTCTGCCACCCCAGACCCGAACTCTGCCACCTCAGACCCAAATTCTGCCACCCCAGACCCGAACTCTGCCACCTCAGACCCAAATTCTGCCATCCCAGACCCGAACTCTGCCACCCCAGACCCGAACTCTGCCACCCCAGACCCGAACTCTGCCATCCCAGACCCGAACTCTGTCACCCCAGACCCGAATTCCATAATCCCTTTTGCTCATTAAATCCAGCCACGGCAGATGACAGGTTTACTGATTTACAGAATGGTCTCTGGAGCCCCGGAAAAACCAGTTTCCTGAATGATCTCACAGATACCACTCGGACCAAAGCACACCCAGCTCACACCTGGCCAGGTGTTCAGACTGCAGGTGTCTAACACACAACCAAGCACAAACCCTGTTTTTCACTGGGACTGTTACAAACAAACCCCCAGCACATCCAAAAGTGCTCATGGCAGGCTCCAAGGCACTGGGAGGCTCCTTTCCCTCACCTGTCCAGCAGCAGCAGCCCACCAGATTTTGTAAGGTGACAAACTTCAACATCAGGCTGAAATCACCGCGTTGGTAATTCCAGTCTGGAAGGTGGAATCCCTTCAGACTGAGGTGTCTGAGAATTCAGGTAACAACAGCACCATTGTCACATTTGTTTCTTTTAAAATTCATCTTAACCTTTCTGTGTGAATTGGATAGAACTCTGAAGGTGGGTGGCAGGACATCCCCAGCCACAATTCCATGACAGAAATGTTGTGTTTGAAGCCCTGGGAAATCAGACCCTGCTCCAGACAAACCAGCAGCTCTCTCACTCCAGGATACATCCCAGAGCAACCCTCTGCAGCAGAGACAATAATCCCCAGTGCTTTTCTCACTCTTTCCATAAAATGTTTCAATATCCAAGAAGAACTTCACTTGTATCAAAAACACGTTAAATCCTGAGCCCAGCTGAGGAACTGCCCTGTGTTTTCAGAGCAGGAAAGACAAAGAGCACAATGTTAATATTGCACATTTCAAAGGCTGGACCTCAAATACGGCAAGCAAGAGGCACCAAAACCACCTCTATTCTCGCAGCAAGCTATTTATAATAATAATTATCCTTTCTATTCTTAGCTTTGCTCCGCTTTGTACTTTCAACACGAATTAACACGGTGTTAAATGTGAGCTGAGGTATGAGTCTCTGATTCTCCACAGCTTGACAGCTTGAAGGCAACGCCGGTTCCATCCCACAAAAACAATGAGAGAAATGGCAACTTGCACATTAAGTGTAAAACACACAGTCTCGCTGACAGCGTGATTTTGCACACAAAAATACATGGGGGGAGGGGGGAAAAAAAAGAAGAGAAGGTAGTGTGGAAAGAAAATATTAAAATCCAAGAGATTGCTGTTGCATAGATTTCCATGGGAAAACAGGAAGAGAGCGGGATAAAAGGATAAATAAATGACATTCCTGCGTGTGAAGGATGGGGCAGGGTGGCTGCAGTGCCATGGGAAGCGGAGTGGAAGGAGAGGAGAACCAGAACCAGAAGCGGCCCACAGCCGGGCCAGGCCGGACCCACACACCGAGCCAGCCCGGCCCGAGCTGCGGAAATTACCGGCACCAGCAACGCCTGAGAAACCGCACCGGCAGCCGGGTGGGAGTGGTGCCTCCGGCAGCAGCAGGGCACGGCCGGCAGCAGCAGGACACGGCCGGCAGCAGCAGGGCACGGCCGGCAGCGCCGCCGGAGCGCCGCTCCCCTCCGGCCCTGCCCGCCGGGGCCACGCCGGATTCCCCCGGCCCTGAGGCAACCCCAGGGCACGGCACGGGGCACGGCCCTTTGTCCGCCGCCTCACATCCCCACGCTCTGCCGGCAATTCGCCCTTTAAGCGAATTGACGGTGTGCGAGCCGCCTCCCCGCAGCCGGGATAACGGGGCCGGGCCGCCTCTCTCCACAGCCGGCCCGGCCGTGCCCGCCGTCCCCGCCCGGCCGCGGCCTCACAGCGCCCGCCCGGGCCGCCCCGGGACGTGGCAGCCGCTGCCGGGGCCGCGTCCGCCGCGGGGGCCGGGCGGACGGAGCGGGGCACGAGCGGCGGAAACACCCCCGGCACGCCGGGATGGGGTTCCCGGCCCCCTGACCCCGGCCGGGGGGAGACCGGTCCCGGATCCTTCCCGGTGATTCCCAGCCCCAGATCGGGGGATGCCCGTTCCCAGTCCTTTCCCGGTAATTCCCAACCCCAGACCGGGGGATGCCCGTTCCCAGTCCTTTCCCGGTAATTCCCAGCCCCAGACCGGGGGATGCTCGTTCCTAAACCCTTCTCCGGAATTCCCAACCCCATACAGGGGTATCTCTTTTCCCAGACCCTTCCCGGTAATTCCCAACCCCAGACCGGGGTATTCCCGTTCTCAGACCTTTCCCGGTAATTCCCAACCCCAGACCGGGGTATCCCCTTTCCTCGGACCCTTCCCGGTATTTCCCAGCCCCAGACCAGGGTATTCCCATTCCTAGACCCCTCCCGGTAATTCCCAGCCCCAGACCGGGGTATCCCTTTTCCCATTCCCTTCCCGGTAATTCCCAGCCCCAGACCAGTGTATCCCCTTTCCCCGGACCCTTCCCGGTATTTCCCAGCCCCGGGCAGCGGAGGGGAGGTGTTCCCCCGGTAAATCCCACTGAGGCCAGGCAGGAGCAGCACCCACGGGATCAGCCCCAGGCTCTCCCGCAGCACTCAGTGTATCACCGGGTGAGGAACCAAGGCTGCTCCGGGCTAGGGCAGGGGACCAGCGGCCAGCCAGGCTGCCTGGTTCCACCCTTCCCCAGCCCTGCTCTATAACAGCACCCATTCACAGGCAAGAGAAAGAAAGCATTAAGATGAATCTGCAAAGCAAACTGGGACGGGCGCAAGTGACCAAGGCGTGACATCCGTGCAGCTGGAGGGCTCAGTGATGCTGTCTGTCCGCAGCCACCGCCATCAAACCCTGCTTGGAAACTTATTAAAGCCTAAGGCTGCAAAAGGGAGCAATGCCTCGAGAGAAATACCATTCATTCAACTTTATATTACACTAAAATGTCAACACACAACTATTTCCTTTAAAAGCACAACCCACAACGTCAGGACACATAAAAGAACGGTATTTTGAGCTTGCTGCCAGAACCTGGCTGGGCACGGAGCAGAGAGGAGGAGGTCACCGGATCTCAGGGACATGAGAAGCCTGCAGCCAGCCCGCAGCCCCCTTTGTTCCACGGCGAGGACACACCGGGACAAGCCCGGCGGGGATCCCGGGACTCTCAGCGCTCCATCCCCTCGTCACTTGGGAAAATTACTTCACACCCCGATTTGCAGCCGGCAGGCGAGTGCCCCTCTGCAGTGGGAGCTGATCTCCCAGGAGCAGGGAAGCGCTGAGCCCTGGAAGGTGTGAGGGGCAGGAACACACAGCCTGCAGCAGGCACAGAGCCCTGGAAGGTGTGGGGGGCAGGAACACACAGCCTGCAGAGGAACAGAGCCCTGGAAGGGGCAGGAACACACACCCTGCAGCAGGCACAGAGCCCTGGAGGGTTTGAGGGGCAGGAACACATTCCCATCAGAAGGCACAGAGCCCTGGAGGGTTTGAAGGGCAGGAACACATTCCCAGTAGCAGGCACAGCAGTGCTGCTCCCCTCCAATCTCACCCTGCCCCCGGCTTTCCTTCCCTGCCCTGCAGCAGGGAATTCTGTCATCAACAGCACCGAGTACTTCATCAGAGAGTCAAAGAAAACATGGTAATTTCACACCGATTTCCACATTCAAACAACTGCGGGTTATTATTGAAAGCTGAAGAAATATTTAGCTAAAATCTTTATTTTCAAATTTCTACCAATAGGCAGTGTATGGTTACCAGATGCTGATGTGGTGCTATAGAGGAGATTCTCCACCAGCTGAACTGATCCTGTTTAGGGACTTTATCAGTGGAATAATCACACTGGCAAGGGCTGAAAGAGGGGAACACATCAGAAGCTGTCAAGTCAATCATAAGCCAAACGAGGACCACAAACTCAGCTCCGTGGTGGCAGCAAAAAGGAACAGAATTCCTGGTCACAGAGCCGGGCACCAGGAAGAAATCATTCCCACACACAAAAGTAAACAGAGCTCCTTGCAAAGCCCCATTTACGTGTTCCAACGTCAGAACAGCAAACACTGCTGTGCCGTGGCGTGCAGGACTGCAAGGAGCCCTGCTCTGCCACACACAAGGCAAACAGGATGTGGCAGGAGCAGCCAAACACAGCCCTCCTTGCCCCTGGCACCCTGCACAGGCAGCCTCCAGCACTGCACCTTCCTCCCAGGGCTGGGAAATCAGCTGCTGCATGGTGCCTGAACGATTTTACTGCTAAACGAGCTCATTAGTCTACTTACTGAAGCTGATAAGGATCATTCTTTTCTAACATTTGCTTTAGAAGGTATGATTTTTATAACATGGTTTTTTTGTTTCTGTTGCTATGGTTTGCACAGTGGTAATGAGCAAGGAGGTAACTTCCCACAAGCCATGGCAGTGTTACATCCCCCAAAATGAACAGTTGATATTATAGGTTATCTTTCACACACACAAAAAAATTGATAGGAATCAGCAGCTTTTTAACAAGACTTGATAAAATTAACATTCCTGAAGCTCCCATTTACAGAGTAAGGGCAGACAGTCCTGTCAGTCCCACAAGTTGGGAGAATAAACATTTAATATTGTTATTGCACAAAAAAAGCCAAGGAACTTCTGCCTTCTCTTTTTTTCAGTACTGAAGTTTCTGTATGAAGAAAAAAACAAAACCAAAAAAGAAACACATCACTGTTTTCTGAGCCCACCATTTCTTTCTAAAGACATGGCAGAAGAATCTTTTGGTAATCCAGGGCATTTAATAAATGAGTGGATGAACTGCTTGAACTGATGGTGCACTCTCACAGTAGCTACAACTGTTTTTCTGACAAGGCAGATTTGGTTGCTCCTCAGCACAAAGATGGTTCACATGCAGCAGGAGGTAAATGTTTATTTGGCCACAGATGATGAAGCTCAAGTAGAATTTGCTTCTTTCCCCACGTCATCATCGTCGTCAACAACCTGAAATCAAATCCAGAAGTAGTTTAGATAAACAGGTTAAGCTCTCAGTCCTGCAGGATTTATTACATTAAATCCCTGCTGGGCCCAAGGAGAGCAGCAGTTATTCCACACCACTGAACAACAACGGGCTCAGGAGGAAGGTAAGAAAAACTGGCAATCCAAAATGCCAGGAGGAAATGAGCTTTAATTACAGGAGCTGGTCAAGCTACCACAAAGGCCACCAAATGGCTCCAGAGATCAGATATTCCATGAGAAACCCAAAGAATCTGCATTTCAGGGGACAAAGCTCGTTGCTTTTTATCACATCAAGTCACCCAAGCACAAGGGTATCAGCAAGTGTGTCCAGCCCTGGGCACAGGACCCTGCAGAGCTCTGCAGCTGACTTGGGAAGCCTGCACCCACACACCCCTGGTTTTCCAACCTGCCCCCACTGGAAAGGGACAAAGATCTCCTTTTCCCCACAAAAGAAAACCTCAATGTCTCCCAGCCCACCTGCTCAACGCCTTCCACCTCAGGGATGTAGAACTGGAGCATGTTCTGTATGCCACTCTTGAGGGTGATGAGGGAGCTGGGGCAGCTGGTGCACGACCCCTGCAGCTTCAGCTGCACAATGCCATCCTCAAAGCCTTTGTAGATAACATCACCACCATCTTCCTGCACGGTGGGCCTGAGGGAACACAACATTCCACTTAAAGCCCATGAGCTGAGACAGGGATCCTTCCAGAAACCCTCAGGAAAGCAGTATTTAATATTTACAATAACTGTGAAGGCACAGGGATTTAGGCACTGTTTCTCTGCAGCCACTGGTTCACATTTCCAACTCCTGCTCTGCTGGGCTATCTAACATAGAAACCTTTTCTGTAGGCAGTGAGGTTTTAGGGTACAGTGAGCACCCTGGGGCAGAGCTCAGCTGCACAGGCAGCCCGGTGTCCTCAGTTGTGCCAATAAATTCCTCAGGGGCGTGTCCCCCAGGGTGCAGCACAGCTGTCACCTGTGATAAGGAGCCCTGCTTCCATAAATAAATACACAGTTCTCCACCATTCACACAGGACAGAAAACAGCCCCAACTAGAAAAGCTCAATCCTGCTCAGGGGTGAAGGAAGCAGCTCCTGATAAGCTCACCCCAGTGCCACGAGCATTTCTGCAGCCTCTCTCCCTCACAAATGCCCAGCATTGCAGCTCTGTCCCCATAGCAACATTTTTCCAGACCAAGTTAAAACCATCAAGTTACTCAAACAGAAGCCCTTTATACTGATTTCCAAAATAACTCTAAGAGCTACAGTCCTCACAGAAAAATCTGTGAACCTGACACATTTATAAACTCACCACAGCAAATTATCTCCATTCCAGGAAGCCAAAGATCATGATTTAAAATTCCATTTTTCTTATTTGAATTAACTTTTTGACACACTACAGGACCTTTCAGATGTACATTGCCCCCATCCTGCACCTTCTGACAACTGCTCTGCATTTAATTTTGATCTGCTGGACAATAAATGCTCTGTGTGTAGCCTGGTTGATGGATAATTTCTGAGAATACCCTGCTAAAAAATGAAGGAAGATACACCACTGCTGATATTCTCATCAGCAGCTTCTTGGTGCACTGATGGGTGCAGGGGGAGGAAATTAAAGAAATGAAAAGGTGGGAAAAGCAGAATTTTGGGCAGAAACTCCATGCCTGTTACAAAAGGCCCTGGGAAATCAAGGACTGACACTAAACATCCAGGTACTCAGCAGGAGCATGAACATTTCTGTCACAGCTTTATACAACATTGTACTTGGCTTCTGGTTTCAACACTTAGCACAAATGTTTGGGAAAGATGTTCCAGTTTATTTCTACTTTTCTTGCTTTTTCAAAAAAATTAACCAGCACCATGTGTCTGTCTGAGATAAAGAAACTTGTAAATAACATATCAGTTTAAATGCAGCAGCTAAATAAAAAAATATTAAAAAAAAAAAAAAAGTACAGTTTCTGGTTTCTAAATTCAAGCTGTGTTAGGGCACCAATAAAATCACAGCAGAGTGCAAGGCCAAAATCCATTGAGGGCCAGGATTTTCCAGGAAATCTTTCTCTGGAGTATAAACTACCTGATTCTTGTATCCAGCAGCTCCTTAATCATCAGTACAACTTCATCATCTTCTTCTGAAGCAGCTTGGGAAAAGAAAAAATGTGCAAGTGAGAACACTGAGAGAATTCCAGGCTGCAAACTCCTGCCTGTGCTCACCTTAACATGTTTTAAATTTAAATTCTCCTGCATGATTTTTTGAGGGAGAAGTGGAGGCTCTTGTGGATGTCACAAAAGCAAAACCCAAAGGCAGACTTGGCCTCCCCCTGAAGATTTGATTTACCTGTGTCTGTCCTGGGTGCCTCATCAGTAACTACAGGTAAGCCAGAGGCAAAGAAATCCATTATGGTTGCATAAATATCTGGTTTCAGTAAGTTCCAATCCAGGTCTTCACTGTCCTGTGAGAAGCAGAAGAGGAGAAGGAAAAAGAATGAAGAGTACCTGCCTGCTGCTGCTAGGTTGCACAGAGGCTCTCACATTAAAAATGCCATCATGGACTCTCACAGACTGGACTTTATGTTCCCTCAAGTCTGGCTTTGCCGAAGATGTTCAGTCAGACTCAGGCTGTGACAGCCAAAGAAAGGTCTCCTTGTTTGCAAGCCAAGCAAGCTAAAAAGGTGTGAAAGTCTCCAAAAGACATTATTATTTGGCAGATATTTTTATCAACTCTTTCAGAGACTCGAGAGTGTGAATTTACCAATTTATCATCCCCTAAACTTATTTTGTTTTCTATTAAAGGCACTTGTGGACACCTCTCTGGAACTGCACTGTGCCTGTCTGGATCTGCTCTGTGACCATTCCACAGCTCATTTCTGAGCACAGCTCACCTTGGTGATGGTGATGAAGTCTGGCCCAAAGAAAACACTTTTAACTCCTTCAATCCGGAATAACTGTCTGTTAAGGACACAAGGGGGGAAAAATGGGCAAAAATGCACTCAATCTGACAAACTGAGTTTTAATTTGAACAATTAACAATATGGTTAAGCCAACAATTTAATCTACAGAAAAAAAAAATTAAACTCTGGTGAACGTGGAGTAAATACAGTGTAAGGCTGTAAGAGTGTTTTTGTAATTACAGGGGGGAAATATATTCTCTTGGAAGACTGGAAAACATCAAAAATGCAAAGACTGAAAGAATCAGAAATCTTAGCACAAATGGAAAATTATAAAAGTGGTTTCACAATACCCACCCGAAACAGTTGTATGTGCACTGAGCACTTGCATCACTAAATCAACTGGATTTTGAAAAGACTTAACCCATGGAATTATGCAAGTGCACAAAACTATCTGAAATAAATTAAATCATTCTCTTTCCTCCCTCTCCTCCAGGGAGCTTCTGTTAATTCTTTGGAAATTTTTATTCCAAATTCTATTTGAAAGGGAATAATAATACCTTGCTAAAGGTGAGCAGTAGGCTGCAGCTGGTGTGGCAAACTCCATAGTCCTCGACCCCAGCACTTCCCTTCCTGGAATAAACTTCAAGCTATTTGGATTTGGTGTGTCCTGGGTTTGAATAAACATGCCTCTCACTGCAAAGACAAAAACAAAGGAGAAAAGTAACATAACCAAACCTAAGGAGATTAAATGAAAGTCAAGTCCTTGATTACTTGACTTGATTGATTGCTCAGCAAGCCCAGGGTGATCCCAGACCACAAGAACACTGCTGAGCACGGGCTCATCATCTCACAGGAGACAGCAGGACAAAAGGAACCTTGGCTTTGCTTTTTTTGCTCACTTTTATTTATTAAAAAGCAAATTTTCAGCATTGCCACGGGACCTAAGAACCCACAACGTGCTCACCTGTTCATTTGGGCTGGTATTTACCTGCACGATGCCATGCTGCAGAGGGAAGAGATGGTTTCTTTTGCAGAAGCTGGTGGAAAGGCTGGCGAGTTGTCACACGATGATCTTTTAACAGCATGTGACAGAACCTAGAGAAAAATAACTTTACTAGCAATTTCCAAATTCCACATTTGCTCTGTCCCCAAGAGAGAGCATTGCACATGCTTTTAGCTGCCCTGGGACTCAGCAAGGCACACCTGGGGTGGTGTCATGGGTCAGACAAAGAGGGCAGAGCAGCAGGGAAAAAAGGAAAAAACATTAAAAAGGAAAAGCAAGATGGAGTGATGGAGTAACAGGCTTCAGTTTCACAGCTGTGAATACCTGATTTCTCTAACTGTATGCACAGCCAATGGCATCAGGGTATTTAAAGCAAAGTTTCCATCAAAAATATGAAAACAAAACCCACCTCACATCACAGACTAATTATTACATACTAATGATCAGTTATTATCTAGTTCCTCTCCTCCTTATCAGCTACACAAGAGGAAAACTGATAAACTCAGTAAATCCTATCTTCAATAAGAGGCTGGTTCTCTCTGGGGGTCATAAACCAGAACACATCACTGCAGAGAGGCCCAGCCTCAAACATGGAACAGGACAGAAGCTCTGTCTCATGAAATGAACATGAGCACAGGACACAGGAATACAGAAAAGGTCTAAATCGTGTTATTTGCTTACTTTTGTGGGCTTTGGAGCAGGTAGAAACCACAACAGGATGTGTAAGGAAGGTCCCCTGGAAGCTCCCTTTAGCTAATGATGATTATATCCCATTTTACAGCGCTCAGCACAGAGCAGGTGTGCCCAGCACTACAGGGTCCTCTAAATTCCCCCTTACTGCTTGATCTTGAGCCAGTTGTGGGGGAGGAATTTCCTCTTCCTTCATGGCCCTGAACATACAGGAGTGTAACAGCTCCTCATTGCCTGTGCACATGTGGGGGTGCAGAATTACCCCTCATTGCAGCACCCTGAGCATATGTGAGGGGAATTACACACGGCTGCAGTGTCCTGAGTGTGAGGGGAATTACCCCTGAGAGCAGGATCCTGAGTGTGTGTGAGGGGAATTATCCCTCAGTGCAGGGTCCTGAGTGTGTATGAGGGGAATTACCCCTTGGAGCAGGATCCTGAGTGTGTATAAAGGGAATTACCACTCAGAGCAGGGTCCTGAGTGTGTATGAGGGGAATTACCCCTCAGAGCAGGGTCCTGAGCCGGGTGTGTGGGGAATTATCCCTCAGTGCAGGGTTTTGAGTGGGGTGTGAGGGGAATTATCCCTCAGTGCAGGATCCTGAGTGTGTATGAAGGGAATTACCCCTCAGAGCAGGTCCTGATCGGGTGTGAGGGGAATTACCCCTCGATGCAGGGTCCTGAACCAGGGGTGAGGGGAATTACCCCTTGGAGCAGGATCCTGAGTGTGTATGAGGGGAATTGCCCCTCAGAGCAGGGTCCTGAGCCAGGTGTGAGGGGAATTACCCCTCAGTGCAGGGTCCTGAGCCGGGTGGGAGGGGAATTACCCCTCAGTGCAGGGTCCTGAGCGTGTGTATGCGGAATTTTCCCTCACGGTTCTCCCCGGGTGCACAGGGCTGAGCACCCAGGGGCTGCGTATCAGGGAGAGCTACCAGCTTGCGGCGTGGAAGGCCTGCGAAGGAGAAACAGCCTCTCGCTGCCTTCCAGGAAGAAGCGTCACCCCGTCCGCGGTGGAGAAAGGAAGGGGAAGAGCAAGGAGCGCCCTGGAGGTCGCAGTGCCGCCAACTGCGACGCGGCTCCCTTCCAGCCGCGTGGGGAAGGGGCGGGAGGGGCCCCCCATCGGGAATAAACCGAGCTCCCTCCGGCAAAAAGCCGTGCCGGGGCAGCGGGAGCCGCGGGCCCCGCGGTCACCTACCGCCCGCCCAGCCCCGCCGCCGCGCAGAGCCGCCGCGCCGCCGCCATCTTGGCGCTCCCCGGGGCCGCT